AAAATATTCCCTCTGAGATGAAGTCAAGTATAAACAAATACTTAAAATGTGTACTTAAGAGCAGATAGCCTTGAGTAAACACTGCTCTTTTAATAAAGCCATTACCATACATTACCTACTCTGCCGTTTAGTATGTCTACTACATATAACATCATGAGGTAACGCAGGGGGAAAAAGGCACGTACAGGAAGGCCATATCCTCAAAGCATCTCTCACAGATGCATGATGGGAGATTACCTATTATTAGCGTGGCCTATTGGTTTAAGGTGCTAGCTAATCTGAAGTCTGCTCCGACATGTAACAAGTTATTTGGTTTTGTTGTTGAGTGAGATGTAAATATATTATATATAGTATAAATAAATAAACCTGGTGTTCAAAAAAATAAACATACACTTACATTTTGATTGCCTTTTTTTACTCTGCACTTTTCAGTTATTTCCCTTTATATTATGAGCATAACATTATTGTTTTTATGATATAAGATATGTAATTAACAAGTTTGTATAATGAGCTTTTTGTAGTTGACAACACCCCGACCAGAGAGTTGTGTACGACGCTGAAGTTGGCTTCCGATTCAGAGCACCGATTCGGCAGTTAAGGGGAAAGTTAAGGGACATTTCATTTACAGCGCTGAGCGAACAATCCTCCGTGTTTGAACCTCTTAAATCGCTGCATAGCCGATTTATTTGGACTGGATTATCCCAGAGAGTCTAAAGATTCTTTATAACCCAGTTTGAGATTTGTGAAATCTTTATTCTATTTGTGAAAATACAAAAAAGGGAGATTTCAGTGCTTTTTTCACATGTAGACCACATTAGACCAGGTCCTGATCTAAAACCACTAGACCTAGACTCATCAAATCTGGACTGGATTATCCCAGAGAGGCTAAAGATTCTTTATAACACAGTTTGAGTTTTGTGAAACCTTTATTCTATTTGTGAAAATACAAACACAGGTGGAAGGCTGAGGTTGCTGCAGCAGGCCAGGATCAGAATCAGAGAGTGAACCTCCCAGCTGGGCAAGCCTTTATGCCTTCTTGTATTTTTTTCACAAATAGAATAAAGGTTTCACAAAACTCAAACTGTGTTATAAAGAATCTTTAGCCTCTCTGGATAATCCAGTCCAGATTTGATGAGTCTAGGTATAGTGGTTTTAGATCAGGACCTGGTCTAATGTGGTCTACATGTGAAAAAAGCACTGAAATCTCCCTTTTTTGTATTTTCACAAATAGAATAAAGATTTCACAAATCTCAAACTGGGTTATAAAGAATCTTTAGACTCTCTGGGATAATCCAGTCCAAATAAATCGGCTATGCAGCGATTTAAGAGGTTCAAACACGGAGGATTGTTCGCTCAGCGCTGTAAATTAAATGTCCCTAACTTTCCCCTTAACTGCCGAATCGGATACTCTGAATCGGAAGCCAACTTCAGCGTCGCGTGAGGTGTGTTCAATGTGTAACGGTGCGTTCAGGGTAGGCTGGTAAATTACACCTCTTTCCTGAACGTTGCTGCAAGGTAATTTGTAGTGTACTTAAGTGCATATTGATGGTGCTTTAAAAAAAAAAATGTTCTACTACTGAGGAAAATATTGTACATTTTACTGCACTATTTGATAGTGAGTGAGATAGTGAGTATATGTATCAACAACAAAAAACACCTTTCATTTAAGAATACTCTCATGTCAACAAATAAACAAAAGTATTGCACAGAAGTAAAGAAATACGGAGTAAATATACATACCAACACGGATAAGAGATATTGCTAGAGAATATTTATATAATACAATAGTTAATTTGAAGAATACACTATAATCAGAATCAAGTTTATTGCCAGGTTTACACATTACACTTTAAGCAAACATTTGTATCTTTTACTTGAGTAAGATCTTGATTGCATAGTTATGAGCTACTTGTAGTGGAGTCAGGAGTGCTATATCATGGTGAGATAAGATATGATAAGATGGACCTTTATTGATCCCTGTAGGGAAATGCAGGTGTTGTAGCAACAACGGAACAAGACAGAAACACAGAGAGTACACATGGGATAATAAGAATAAGAATACAAAATAAAATGAGAATAACATAGTAATAGTATGAATAGAAATGACAACAATGACATGAGTTATACACTATGTATAAAGGTTAAACATACATTTAAATGTGCAGGTAATCATACTTTAACTTGAATTCAATACATCATGCATCAGTAGATAGATGTGTGCGTCTCTATTTTGATTTATGTTCAATTAAATACTTTATAATAAATAAAATATGTTTATAATAAAAGCAACCTGCGGAAGTAGTTTGTTTTGTCCCCAAACGCTTCATGGGATTCACGCCTCTCTTACGTCACCCAGTCACTCCACATCAGCCTTGTGATTGGCTCTTCACACGACTGGGACGGTTGCGATTGGTTGCGAAACGAAGCAGAGAAACAGGAAGCCAAAGAAAAAAAAATCTTTTCAACTCAAGAGCTCATAAGCCTCTCACTCTCTCTCACATTTGATCGTGTTCTCCTTCGTTACGGGTTGACGAAAAACTCCAAGCAACATGGGGTGCTTCTTCTCTAAAAAATCCAAAAGGAAGTCCTCGGAAAAAGATGAACGTACACCGACAACAACGACCGTTGAAACTACGACGACAAACAGCTCGGTTCCCCTTGGCAACAACAGCGAGGAGCCTCCGAAGCAGTACAGCTGGGACAAGAGAGAAAAGGTGAAAACATGACATTTAACGTTAAATAAAATCATTAAGATGAATGAAATTATACCTTTTGGCACCTGGAAGTCTTACCTAACAAAACCCAACAAGTGTGAGATGCTTAATGCCTTTTCATTTGTGTCATTAAGTCGTTTCCAGCTAGCTATTTAGAAACAACTCGAGTGCAAAGGGTTTTCTCAGGTGTATTGGTGCTTACATAAACACAGCGAGATACACTTAGATGTGAAATTAACAGGTAACACTGAAAAAAGACAATATTAACCCTTATATTTTGTCAAATGAATTGATAGCGGAATTTAGAAAAAACCCTCATTAGCTTCTCACATACAAGGGATTTTCTCAGGTGTGTTGGTACATATAAACACAGGGAGTTACATTTAGATGGAAATATTTGTAGTTATCTATTTTAAGAAGGGACAATGCACATTCTTTAACTGTAGCCAGAGAGGCCAATTTTCATCTGAGGTCCCTGGCAGGTTGAAGGCATTTAAAGAAAACATACAAGACCACATGAAAAACATATAAGCACAATTAACTCACGATTGCAGCACATATAAATAACATTATACCTTTTTTAAAACCTTTTAACATGCAACACATGTTTATTGTACTCATTGCTTCCACCCACCTAATGCAATGAAGTACATCCTTTTACATGAATAAAATATAATTTAATATATTACACAACTTAAATTGCTGCATTGACAAAAATAAAGAAAAATAGTTTTTTCATTTACAAGGATATTGTCTTGTTTGTGAAAATGTAAACACTAAGATACATTAAAAATGTACGCTTTTTGTCACAGGTATGCAGAGGTACTCTAACAGTACTACAGTGTACAAATACTCAGTTTCCAAAAATGTGAACTGATTAAATGCCAGAGTTTTTTTCAGTGTTGGAGGAAGTTTTCAGATCCATAACAAAATAAACTCTAATAGTGAAAGAGTGGTACTAGATACAGGGTTAGATACATTGAAGTCAAAGTGAGGAAGTTGATCATTTTTGTAAGAAAAATATAAAGGAATATATATTATAAAATAAAAAATTCCCCGAAAATATGACAAATATATTTAAAATATTTTCACAATGGAGTATTTTAATAGCAAATGCAAGATACCAAAAGACCATCCACCTCTCCATGTATCTAACCAGGTGAAAGGCGTATATAAAGAAATTAAAACTTGGCATTAGTGTCCTGGAGCAAATGTAAATAGGGCCGATATATTTGTGTATACATATGCTTTAAAGCTTTGTAATTTGTAAGTTTAATTCCTATTGATAATATTTGTCTTATTGAATCCATTAATCAGCTCGTTGGCTCTGAATCTCTCTCCATAACAGAGCCAAGCTCGGCAGAGTTTTATTACATCACCCAGTCTCAACATATTCAGCTTTACGTGTCGACGGTTGCTTAAGATGCATGCAACGCTCTGCACGCGTCCCCCATGTATCCAGCCGGCGTTATCTCATTATGGGATTACAACACTGTTCACAGCTGACCACACAGAGCATGACTTATTCAGACTATGTAGGCGCGGACTAGGTCGTGGTTCCACTTCCGTTTTTTAGGATGTCGCCCTTTTTATAACAGTGGTTCACCAAATAACACACTAGCCATCAGTATCCGGTGTGTCTAAAACTAGCTTATGCCTACTGCAAGTTCACTTAGTCTGAAATATGAGAAGAGAAACTACTGTAATGTTAGTGAAATGTTACAAAAAGAAGAGAAGATACGCGGAATGAATGGTTTGATTTTAATACATTTATTCGTAAAGCAGTTTTTAAAATGGGAGCTCTTAAGTTCTTTTTTAATGGAGAGCATAATCTCAAATTCAAAACAAAACTCAAGAACTGCAAAATAGAAGGACACGGTTCAAAGGGTGTGTAAAGAAACGTATCAAATTATCCAGAAAGTATAATAAATTCAACTTTAAAATGTAGCTGGTTGCACAACAGAGCTTTATTATGTAAGCAGCTTATTCACTCTTATGTGAGTTGGATTTAAAGGGTCCCTATTATTCATATCAGTATTTAGTGTCTCTACATGTCTCCGTGCTTTAATGTTCAAAAAGCTCTTTATTCTTCTCATACTGCCTGTGCTGCAGCACCTCTTTTCACCCTCTGTCTGAAACCAGAGCCCAGTCTGCTCTGATTGGTTAGCTGGCCGGCTCTGTTGTGATTGATCAAGGGCTTAGAGATGTCCCGTCCCTTAGCCTATCACGCACAATGTGTTGGAGTGCTAGCCAATAGAAGTGCAAGTGTTACATAGTGGTGTCACTATGATCAGGAAGTAAACAAAGCAGTCCAATTGAGGCGTTTCAGGCAGGGGGGGGGGCATTTACATGTACAAAAACCTACAGAAAACACACTACTGGAAAGGAAAAACCCAAAAGCATAATAAGGCCTTTTTAATGTTTTCTACTGACGCTTACAAGAATATCTGCATGTTAAGTAGATAGTAACATTGAAATATATCCGATACTGTTCTGTAAATACTGTCCATTCTCCTTTGACTGATGGCGCCCCCTCTCTCTGCTCAGGTTGACCCCAAAGACTACATGCTGTCGGGGCTCAAAGACGTGACGGTGGGCCGGCATCCGGGCAAACTGAACGGCCAGCAGTTTGTGATCCAGGACTGCGAGAACTGCAACATCTTCGTGTTCGACCACGCGGCCACCATCACCATCGACGACTGCGTGAACTGCCGCATCGTGCTGGGCCCCATCAAGGGCAGCGTCTTCTTCAGGGACTGCAAGGACATCAAGTGGTGGTGGCCTCCTGCCAGCAGTTTCGCACGCGGGACTGTAAAAGATGGAGGTGTTCCTGTGCTGCGCCACACAGCCCATCATCGAGTCGTCCACGGGGATGAAGTTCGGCTGCTTCCAGTACTTCTACCCCGATCTCGCCTTCCACTTCAAGGACGCCGGCCTCAGCATCTTCAACAACAACTGGAGCAACATCCACGACTTCACGCCCGTTTCGGGGAGATCAACTGGAGCCTGCTGCCGGAGTCGTCCAAGGTTCTGGATTTTGTGCCCGTCCCTGACCCAGAGTCTGAATTCAAGTCGGTTCGGATCTCGGGCGACCCTGAACGCCAGCATCGTGCCTCTGACAAAAGGAAGCCGGCGTAAGGACAGCGATGAGTCCTGCCTCTTCGTGTTCTTCGCTGGGGAATACACCACCGCTAACGCCCGCAAGCTCATCGATGAGGTGAGGAGACGGCCAATCAGTGTGAGGAGGCTCAGTTTAAAGGGGACCTATCATGCAAAATGCACTTTTGTACGTCTTTTATACATGAATATGTGTCCCCGGTGTGTCAGGGAACTCACCAAGTGTCAGGAAACACAACCCTCTCTTTTCCTCCATACCCAAATCTCTAAAAACGGGGCTGCAACGGAGCTGATTATTATTTGAATTTTTCTGACGTCAGAAAAGGGGTGCTCCGCCTATATGGGCAACTCTCTACCTATTAGGCGAATGAGAGACCGCTCGAAAGCGCTGGAGACGCTGTAGTACATATGCCAGGCCTGTAGGTGGCGCTGTAGTCTGCCACAAAAGCAGAATCAGCCCTCGCAAAAACAGGGCTGGAAAAGAGCAAATAGAGCGAAATGAGGCATGGCTAAAATGCATGATCTGTTTGGTATTTTGAAAAATAAACTTCACAGACATGTTTTTATATGGCCCTACAATATGTTTCAAATATAGCATGATAGGTCCACTTTAAAGGGATAGTGCTGGAGTTTGGAAGAGAGGTTGTATAAAGCACTTCTCTATAGTCTGTGTATTACTGCAGTAGATGCATTTAGTAGAAACAGACAGCAGGAAGCTAAGCTGTCTGTCTGCCTACCTACCTACCTACCTACCTACCTACCTACCTACCTACCTACCTACCTACCTACCTACCTACTACCTACCTACCTACCTACCTACCTACCCTACCTACCTACCTACCTACCTGCCTGCCTGCCTGCCTGCCTGCCTCTACCTACCTACCTACCTACCTACTACCTACCTACCTACCTACCTACCTCCTACCTACTACCTACCTACCTACCTACCGACCCTACCTACCTACCTACCTACCTACCTACCTACCTACCTACCTACCTACCTACCTACCTACCTACCTACCTGCCTGCCTACCTGCCTACCTCCCTGCCTACCTGCCTGCCTGCCTGCCTACCTACCTACCTACCTACCTACCTACCTACCTACCTACCTACCTACCTACAATGTTTTTTGCAGAAGATTAATATCAAATGTATTGAATCCTTTTTGGTACTTTTTAAACAATATTTTATACATTTTTAAGACTTTTTGTTTCATACTAGGATTTTTCTGTGACATTTTTAAAGGTTTTCAAGATAAATCTGTGACTTTTTTTTTTTTACTACATAAAGTAATGACAGTTTTAATACTTTTTTTGCCATTTTTTATGACTCTTATAATTATCTTTTGAATTCAAATACAGGTTATAATGTGACTGCCTGGTAAAACTGAATCGACGCTTTAAAACTCCAAAGTTACACAATCTAACTTACCGAAAAAGGCATCAGTATTCCAGCAACTCCCTTTTTCCACAAGGTAAAATTACATTTCTTTTTGAAATAGCCTCTGGTGGAAATCAGAATAAGAAATCCTTTATTCATCTGCTGTAGGTCTGTGTAGGAGTTACTCGTAAAAACCGTATTATAATCCCACTGACTACCACCAGATATGAAGTGCTAAACAAATGGAGGAAGTGTTTATAGTACGTACATGGAAACATGGTGGTGGTGGTATTAAGGTTGACACTACTGGATAATACACTGATAACCTCTGGGTGCACTCAGCCACTTTCTTTAAAAGGTTACACAACTAATTAAAATAAAATAAAAACAATGTTAACCAGCACAGCCTGCAGGATTTTTAACAACATATAACATATTATAAAAAATTAAATATGTGCGTACATGATTGTGACATTGTCTACCTACCTACCTACCTACCTACCTACCTACCTACCTACCTACCTACCTACCTACCTACCTACCTACCTACCTACCTACCTACCTACCTACCTACCTACCTACCTACCTACCTACCTACCTACCTACCTACCTACCTACCTACCTACCTACCTACCTACCTACCTACCTACCGATTGTGACTTAGTTATTTATGAATTGAAACATATTGACTTCATTAATTATTGTTCAATTTATAATATAGATAATTACAGATGCAAAGTTGAAAGGATGTGTTTTATTCTTCCTGATCTTGACATGTTTTTATCACTTTATTTTCGATCTGACTTTGAGCTTGTACTACTCAGTATCTGAAGCCTGCTGTTCTGCTGCTTTAACATTCCTGTGATGTTTTGTGTTGCTGCCAAGAAAAAAGCATGACTCCATCACTAAAGCATGTGTAGCAGGCGCGCTGTAATCCAGTTCATCTCCCTCCGTGCAAACACCGCAGGAGTCTTGAAGTAGTTTTCTACAAACCTTGCTGGTTTTGATTAAATAACGTTTCCCTTCGCGTTCGCTCAGGTGGCGGCTAAGGCTTCGTGCTGGTCCAGACCAAGGAGGTGTCGATGAGACCTGAAGACGTGAAGAGGGTTTTCCAGAACAGCGCAGACGAGCTGGTGGACTGGATCACCAAAGGTAGGGTGGTACATTTGATCCAAAACACAACATATCCAAATTGTAGGAATCACAGTATTTCTTAAAGGCTGAATACGAGTTAGAATACATTTTGAATGAAGTATTGTCGTGCTAGAGAGATTGTTTAAAATACTTAATAATGCATTTTATTCATATGGTTGTCATGGTCGCCGTACAAGATCAAAAGCACAAAATCAAAAACCAAACACCAGCAGAAAAACAAGACCCATGAAATCAGTAAGAACAGAGGACGTGTCATGTGATCAGGGTGGATATGCCCGTGTGGAGAGATGTTGTTTTCAGACGTGATTTTGAAATGGAGAGGGAGTCAATATCCCTTATGTCAGGTGGGAGGGAGCTCCAGAGGAGGGGTGCAGAGCGAGGGCTGAAGGCTCCGGATCCTATGGTGGTTAATAATAAAGCTTTATTTATACAGCACTTTTCATACAACACATGCAGCTCAAAGTGCTTTGCAAAAAGGACACTTCACAAGTGGTGGTGCAGTGAGGGGATGGAAGCAGAAGACCTAAGGGTGCGGGTGGTTGTGTTGATGTGCAGGAGGTCGGAGGAGGTAGAGAGGAGGGAGGTTGTTAGCCTTACAAGTGAGGAGCAGAATCTTATCATCTATACGGTATCTGACAGGAGAAGCTGCTGGAGAACAGGATGTGGTTAATGGGGAGGGGGGGGGGCGGCAGAGTTCTGGACCAGTTGAAGTTTGTGGATGGACTTGAGAGGGTTTGCAGTGGTCGATGTGTGCAGAGAGCAGGGGTGAGCTTGTGAGGGACGGGTGGAGGAAGTGGATGTTACATTTATGGAAATAAGCAGACCGAATGACACGCCACATGTTCCCTGTCATTGTCCTGTTGAACTGTTTGAACCCTTCTTAGAATATTTGATGAATTGTACGGTTGTGCTTTGAAAGGCACTTTGAAATATAATGTATTATTACTTATATTTATTTATTGTCTCATCATTATTTATTCAAAAAACATATGAACATCGGTCATTATATACACATAAGACATTGACATCAGTGCTACACAGGTACACGTACGAAGTAAACAAATATAAACAAACAAGTCATATTTTAAATAAATATTTGTCAATACAACGTTTTATAAATAGTAATAATAAAATAAAAAGAAAGTATAACAAAAAGCCCATCTGAATCCGTCCCATCCTGTTTCTCCTCTGAAGGTCCGGTTATCGCCCTGGAGCTGAGCGGAGGCGGCGTGGTGGACGCCTGCAGGAGCATCGCCGACCAGGTGTTCCCCGGCACCAAGGTGAACGCTTTAAAGATAAATACAGAAAGGATGGAGCTCATTTCCTGCTGAAAACTCCACAAACAAACTCAACATGTTTTACACATGCCCTACGATTCACTAACACAGTGTGGTTTACAAATATAAAACTCCATCTACAAACTAATGCGTTATGTTTTATCAAACAAACACATTACATGTTTCTGGTGCTTTAAGTATATTTTGATGCTGATACTTTCCAACCTGAGAAACAACTTGTACCAGAGTATTGCTACACTCTGGTACTTCTACTCAAATACAAGACATTAGCACTTCTACTTTTACTCAAGTACAAGGATCTGAGTACTTCTACTTTACTCCAGTACAAGACCTGAGTACTTCTACCTCTTTACTCAAGTACACGACCTGAGTACTTCTACTTTTACTCAAGTACAAGACCTGAGTACTTTCTACTTTTACTCAAGTACAAGACCTGAGTACTTATACTTTTACTCTAGCATAAGATCCGAGTACTTCTACTTTACTCAAGTACAAGACCTGAGTACTTCTACTTTTACTAAAGTACAAGACCTGAGTACTTCTACTTTACTCAAGTACAAGACCTGAGTACTTCTACTTTTACTCAAGTACAAGACCTGAGTACTTCTACTTTTACTCAAGTACAAGACCTGAGTACTTATACTTTTACTCTAGCATAAGATCCGAGTACTTCTACTTTTACTCAAGTACAAGACCTGAGTACTTCTACTTTTACTCAAGTACAAGACCTGAGTACTTCTACTTTTACTCCAGTATAAGTCCTGAGTACTTATACTTTTACTCTAGCATAAGATCCGAGTACTTCTACTTTTACTCCATTACCAGATCTGAGTACTTATACTTTTACTCAAATGCAAGATCTGACCACTTCTACTTTTACTCAAGTACAAGATCTGAGTACTTCTACTTTTACTCCAGTACAAGACCTGAGTACTTCTACTTTTACTCAAGCATAAGATCCGAGTACTTCTACTTTTACTCCATTACCAGATCTGAGTACTTCTACTTTTACTCAAATGCAAGATCTGACCACTTCTACTTTTACTCAAGTACAAGACCTGAGTACTTCTACTTTTACTCCATTACAAGATCTGAGTACTTCTACTTTTACTCAAGTACAAGATCTGAGTACTTCTACTTTTACTCCATTACAAGATCTGAGTACTTCTACTTTTACTCCATTACAAGATCTGAGTACTTCTACTTTTACGCAAGTACAAGACCTGAGTACTTCTACTAAAGTATAAGACCTGAGTACTTCTCCCCCCTCTGAGCAAAAGTAATGGCTGTTGTTGTTTACTTGGCTGTTGTTGTTTACTTCAACAAGTTGTTTTTCTTCCTTTGCAGGTTTTCGTCTCTGAAAATAAAAACTCTTCCTCCAGAGACGTCGACAACTTCTTCAACTTCGCCGACATGCAGATGGGTTTGTGAGAAAGCGAAACGCTCGGCTCGAGTTGGATTGGCGGAAAACGAGATAGCAAATCACAGATATTGCGTATATAGAAAGGCTGCAGTTCGCCCGACCGTGAGTCTGCAGCCGTGAAGCTCGGAGCTGAGCGAGCTGTGAATATTTATATTTCTATGAATGTCGCTTTTATCGATTGTGAATGTAGAGCTTTGCTGTAAATGTTTAATTAATGTCGCTGCAGAAAAACCATGAGCACACGAACGCCTGAGGGAAAATATTTTATATAAATAAACCATATTTTATTCGTTCAAGGATTTATTTGTGTATTAGATAATGGACTTGTTATGAATGTATATTTGAGACCTGCTGTGTAGATGTTTATCACATATTTACTGGTTTCTGTTAGGCCAAAGTTTAATCGTGAACGTTTGCATTTTGGTTGATGTAGGCATGTGATTTTTATTTTGTGATATTTGTTTTATACTCTGCTAAATGTTTTTGTATGGAAACACATGTATTGTCTTTATCATTGTTTTTAGTAAAACGTTTCGTTACGTCTGACTTTATTTTGTTACGAGGCTTTTTAAACACTGTTAGAAGAAGCACTGCAGTGATGCTGGACACACATTAAGAACAATTGGGTAAATAGTTTGTCTTCCTGGGTTCATTTAGCTACTGATATTTGCAAAACTGATTAATTGTAAAGGATTATATCACCCTCAAAAGGCCCCTGTGATATTCTCATGACTCCACGGTGAACGAAGGACCAAAAAAACGATTCCTTTGTTTACTTCAGGGACATAGTGACATCAAACACTCATGCTCGTATTGGCTAGCGCTCCAACACATTGTACGTGATAAACTAAGGGGCGGGACATATCTAAGCGGTTGACCAATCACAACAGAACCGGCCAGCTAACCAATCAGAGCAGACTGGGCTCTGGTTTCAGACAGAGGGTGAAATACAGGCAGTATGAGAAAAATAAAGAGCTTTTTGAACATTAAAGCATGGCGACACGTCCAAAATATGAATCGAGAGATGTAGCACCCCTTTAAGGTATTTGATATAAAAGGATTCTTTTGTGCGATTTGATGTTTTTGAACAAGCTGTACATTTAAATTCTGTTTGTGTTAAGCTGGAAACAAAGTTCATTAAGTAGGTTAATTATTTTCCTTCATGTTGTTAAAGAAGCACAGATTTTGGTTTTAAAACATTCAATCTCAATGAATCGTGATGTTTCAAAGAAGAAACGTCTTCCTCTGTTTGATTACAGTAAGCAGCTTTCACTTCCACTTACTTAAAAAACACTATGATAATGATTTTCCAATCGATGGCCAACATCCCTCCGTCTGTATTATTCATTTATTCATTAATAACCTGCAACACAAGGCAGTTTCAGTTAAAGCAGTTTTGGACAGTTGCCTTTAAGAAGTATATAATAGGAATATTCTGTGATTTTGTATTTGTAAACCTTTTGTACTCGAGCATTGTTTTTTTAGAGCTATTAACTTATGAATGCACAATTTGTCTGCAATTTGACACCCTGTCTTTACATTAAAAGCGTAGGATATCTAAAAAAACACAATGGACACTGACTGCTTATTTAATATCACTGTTTTTTAATAAATGTCGAGGACAGATGTGAACCTTTCTGTATCTCATGATTTGATTTGTGTGATGAAAAATACTCCGGATTCAGGATTTAATGAACCTGATAACTAATAAAGGTTTTCAAATGATGGCCTGAAAGCAGAGTAAAGTTGCACAAATGTACGATTTTTAAAGGAACGTTTTTCTCAATTCTCAGTGACTTCCTGGAGTGTAAGTTGTTAAAAAAAAAGAGCCAATTTCAATAATAAACTGTAGACTGTGGCGATATTTCCACAACTCACATACATTTGACTAGCATGGTTACTGTGAGGGGGATGAGGAAAATGTGAAATATTATTATTATAATTATTAGGTAGGATTTCCATATGTTACACATTTGAAGTATATCATTCCATTTTATTTGTATTTATTAATTCAATCTAATTTGTAATCATATTTTATCAAATGCGTTTTATTTTCCATTGACTTTAACTCTATTGTGAGTTTGTATTTCTGTCCATCTCTTTTTTAGAGAGCAGCGGGGGAACTTAGAGTTGACAACATTATTACAAAATTAAATAATATATACTAAGATAAGAAAACGTAAAAATAGACATTAATGTAAAAAAACCAGATTACTTTTCACAATTGTGGTGTAGTAAGTAATTGATTTGAAGTATATTTTAATATGTAAAATATAAATACATTGAATTATACACGGAGTTTGCAAATAATTATTTTCAAGTGTTAAAGCAAAAATAAATAACGTTTTTGTTTTTTCCATTGTGGTCTAAGAGATAGAGGGTAATACCGGTGAGTAAATCGAGCGCACCCCGGCCGTATGGAATCCGGCGGCCATTAGGACCGTGCGGGCGTCTCGGTACAATAGAGCTGTTGTGCCGTGGTGGTGGACAGACTGCTGCCCAGGATCTCCCTCTGTGCTTCGGATACAAAAACCCCAAATTCCCCCTCTCTAAAATCACCGGAGACTCCGTGTATATCACCCCGTATTCTGGAGGTTTGATCCGGACTGAAAAGTGGCAGGAATAGAGCGGACAGCAGCCGGTGGACTGAAGGTAAAATGGGGGGAATGGAAACAATATGTGTTCCAGGATTTAGCCGGGGCCTGCTCCCTTTTCCTGCCTGTATTTCGGCTTATTCACCCCGCTAATGTTTCTTAATGAAGAATGTTTTCCTGTCCCCCTCTCTGTGGATAATGGAGCCGGTGTTTGTGAGGGGAATACTTTGTGTTAATGTGTGTAGGAAGGAAGTGACATCTTTGTGTGATGGTGGCGCCCACGTTTGATTTCTCCACAGCCTGCAGGCCGCGGCGCTGAAGTCAGACTCAGGATGGGAGTTTACAATAGGGGCACTTAAGGGGAAAGTTCATTTAAACATTTCTAAAGGACAGATTCTCCTTTTTTTTTAAGTTCCTCTGTTGTTAAAGCCTGTGAGACGTCTGGAACACTGTCAGGTTTGTGAAGCTTTTAGTTAAAGTAACAAAAAGGGAGATTAAACAGCTTTTTTCCTATTCAACCACATTGTCTCTTTTAAAAAACACTTGATATAACAATGAGAATCAGATTTCACCAAGTAGGTTTACACAGATGGGCAATTTGCTTTGGTGTAAATGTTTCTTACAAACACAGAGAAGAAAAATGTTTTTTTAAAGAAGGGAGCAAAAAATAGTGTTTAAAAACAGTCTTTATTTTAAAGACTATTGTTACAAATGAGAAATAAAGACAATATTTACACATAATATAACCTGTTTAAAAAGAGGTAGTGTGGAGCAGAAATAAATGGTGCGATACATATCTGATTTTATAAATACAGACTAATAAATGGTTATAGAATAAGAAAGAGAAATAAAACCAACCTTTTAAAAAAAAAAATAGTTTTAATTATAAAGTGTGCTTCAGACAGCCTTTAAATACAATGTCTAACATTTAAATTATGCTTAAAGAAGCTGGGATCCTAGCCTTAGTACTGTAAATTAAGCTTCCCCTTACATTTCCCCTTAACTGCCCAACCGGAAGCTGACTTCCGTGTGTGTTTGGCGCCAACTCGGCTCTTTGGGCAGGGCAGCAGGTTCAGGGTTTATGTTTGAAAAAGCTCCCAATTCACCCACTACTGACTTTAGTGGATGAAAAACAACACAATATATGAGGAAATACATGTAAACAAAGTGTGTGTGTGTGTACTCGTACTCAAAAGTAGAAATACTCTGTTAAGTGCATTCATGTACTCACAACATTACTTAAGTGAAAGTATTCATTTAAAAAAAAAAAAAAAAAAGGTATACATTATATTTCTGGATTACTGATGCATTTATGTGTTTATCACTTTATTGTAAAGCTGGCACTCATGTTAAGTACGTTATACACTGCTGGGTGTCTATACCTATAATACTTAAGGGCTTCATGTTTAGAAAACATATTTAAACTTATATTCTAATTGCACTAAGATTTAAAGAAATACACATTTTCTGCAAAAATCTATTTTAAGGGATCATGTCGAGGTCGAGGATCTACTCTAAATTATTATTTCTTAAAGGTAGGGTAGGTAAGAATGGAGAAACCAGCTCGAGTGCGCTAGAATTAGAAAGTATGCAGCCGGAAAAAATCTGCCCCTTCCTTCAGACTTCCTCACAGAGCCCCTCCTCCAACACACACGAACGCACACATGACCAATGAGGGCACGAGATGAGTTTGTGCACAGATGGAAGGCTGACAGGCAGGTAGGCCATCCAGTTACTTTAGCCGGGCCGGCTCAAATGATTGGTCGTGCTTTTTACAGCGCCACGGCTTCCACAGATGACATTTTAATGTATTTATTGTCAAAGCACTTAAGATATTCATTGCTATCGGGATGTTAAGAGCATTCCATGGAATATAACGACACGTGTTTCTGAAGTGAATTACCTACCCCACCTTTAAAAGTATCATGATGGATTTATAGTTGAAGGTAATGCACCAAACGATCAACAGATAATCAGAAATAAGAACACAGTTGCAGCCCTAGTTTACCCAGAACATTTAGAAGTAGAAATTGTCCAAAGCCATTTGACTTTTTATGTGTCAAAAATCAACAGATAATTTGTCACTCAATTTTTAACAACACAAAATTGAAATTGAAGAATACTGAATAGCAACAGGGGAAAGTCTCAGTATGCATAACTTGTAGGTTGATCCAGTTCTGCATTTTTATTGTAAGAATTGCAGCTTTCGACGTCTCTTCATTCATCGTTTACCTCCGCCCTGACGACCTGAGCGCTGTTTGCTGCTGCGGGAGAGACGCTCTTCACGTCAGGAACACATGCCGCTCTGCAGAGAAACACAGCGCGCTCTGTGTGTGATTTCATCTTAAAAATAGATTCAGTCCAGAAACACCCAGCAGGGTTTGAACCAAGTCTAGAAACTCAAGTCAGAAATGTGCCTGAGATCTCCTTGTATTGTAAGCTGCTGTTTATTTGACAAAGACCCTCAGCTAAAACCAAAAACATTGAATGTTTCAAATACTGTTGTCTCGTGAAAACAACTCGATAAGCACTTCCTCGTGTAGAAATTCCTCCAGCATGATCTGATCATTTTGTTTATTTCATCTTTTGTTGTTGTTGTTTTCGAACAGATGAGTTGTTCCAGCATTGATGTTGCAATACTCACATCGCAGGACGTGCAATAGATACATTACCTTAAAAACATCATGCTACTACTCTTTCCCCGCTGCATACAACAACAAAACATTTTCTATAAATACAACTCCAAGCAGAGTTTACTGAGGTGGTTTTGAGGTGTATTATTATTGCAACATTTTACCCCCACAATGTCTGATCAGTGTCTCCCACAGATCTGAAATATATTTGGGGGGGGGTGGTGGTAGCGGGGGAGGGGGGGGGTCGCTTGTTAGCAGACCCTTCACGCCATGGCAGAGCGAACAGGTACAGGCAGGGCCCATGGTGATAGCCCTATAGTTTAAACCTACTACCCACAAATAAACACATGGACATGGGTTACTATTTTTTTTTTAAATGGTAAATGTATTTAGGAATCTATCCATGTGATTTTTTTTTTTTTAATGTTGGAGTTAAATGCATCTGGTGCATTTTGAGAGGGAAATAAAGAGACTAGATCTATGGAAACACCCATATGAAACAGAACTGTATACATTTCAATAATCATAAAATCATGGCCATAATCAATAATATACAATATGAAAAAACACTGAAACTTATGTATTTGTTTTTGTTCATTTATAGTTGTGAGTGTGTCTGTGCTCCTGAACCAGCCTCACCTGTCTCCCTCCTCTCCCTCCTCTCCCTCCTCTCCCCCCTGCTCCTCTTTGAGGCAGCAGCAACGACTAGTTTTAGCTCTCAACAAGTTTTAAAAGTGTATCTTACCTTTTTTCACCTAGTTAACTTTTTATTTATTTATTCATGCATATTTTACTAATCACTCTCCTCTCAAATGGAAATATGTGTTTTACATAAATGGTGACCAAACCGTTTGAGACCCACTGAGAACTTGGACGAAGTTAACTATCTAAACACTCAGAGTCCTTTACCTCACCTGAGCTGGGGTTATCCCGAGCTTGAATGACACACGGAGACCAATCAAGGGCTTTTGATGTATGATCTGTATGACAGTGGCCATGTCGGCAGGCCACATCATGTGGACAGCCAGTCACCCTGTGTGAGGCAGGCCACATCATGTAGACAGCCAGTCACCCTGTGTGAGGCAGGCCACATCATGTAGACAGCCAGTCACCCTGTGTGAGGCAGGCCACATCATGTGGACAGCCAGTCACCCTGTGTGAGGCAGGCCACATCAGGTAGACAGCCAGTCACCCTGTGTGAGGCAGGCCACATCATGTAGACAGCCAGTCACCCTGTGTGAGGCAGGCCACATCATGTGGACAGCCAGTCACCCTGTGTGAGGCAGGCCACATCATGTAGACAGCCAGTCACCCTGTGTGAGGCAGGCCACATCATGTAGACAGCCAGTCACCCTGTGTGAGGCAGGCCACATCATGTAGACAGCCAGTCACCCTGTGTGAGGCAGGCCACTTCATGTGGACAGCCAGTCACCCTGTGTGAGGCAGGCCACATCATGTAGACAGCCAGTCACCCTGTGTGAGGCAGGCCACTTTACAGGCCAGGCCATCGGGAAACCCCCCGGTCCTCCGATGGCCAGTCCGGGACTGGGTACAGGAGGCGTAGAGCGAGGGATCATTGTCCACAAGTTAATCGGTCGCAGATGACGTCGTGATCACGGACGAAAAAGAAAGAAAAAAAACCTAAATGGGTCGCGAAATATACTGTTCCCTTCAGTGTTTACTTCCTGTCTGTCTTCTTCTGTTGTTCCCTTTAGTTTACTTCCTGTCTGTCTTCTTCTGCTGTTCCCTTTAGTTTACTTCCTGTCTGTCTTCTTCTGCTGTTCCCTTTAGTTTACTTCCTGTCTTCTTCTGCTTTTCCCTTAAGTGTTTACTTCCTGTCTGTCTTTTGTTGTTCCCTTAAGTGTTTACTTCCTGTCTGTCTTCTTCTGTTGTTCCCGTTAGTGTTTACTTCCTGTCTTCTTCTGCTGTTCCCTTTAGTGTTTACTTCCTGTCTTCTTCTGCTTTTCCCTTAAGTGTTTACTTCCTGTCTGTCTTTTGTTGTTCCCTTAAGTGTTTACTTCCTGTCTGTCTTTTGTTGTTCCCTTAAGTGTTTACTTCTTGTCTGTCTTTTGTTGTTCCCTTAAGTGTTTACTTCTTGTCTGTCTTCTTCTGTTGTTCCCTTTAGTGTTTACTTCCTGTCTGTCTTCTTCTGTTGTTCCCGTTAGTGTTTACTTCCTGTCTTCTTCTGCTTTTCCCTTAAGTGTTTACTTCCTGTCTGTCTTCTTCTGTTGTTCCCTTTAGTGTTTACTTCCTGGGTGTTTCTCAATCTCCAGTATGCTTGCTTGGTAGCACATGTCTTCCGAGTCACTTGCTTCAGAAGCGAGGCAAGAATCCTTCCTGGCATTCGGAAAACGAAGAGTGGAACAGGCGAGTAAGTGTGCAGGTGTGCGTCATATGAGAGGCCCGCCTTACATTTTCCGCCACAGATTTGGGGCAATTGGTCCGTGCGCAAAGCATTGTGGGGATTTTAAGACCGCGGAGTCTACGCATGTGCAGCCTCGAAATGTCTCCAAACGAAGTACGCCGGGCTCGGTAGAATTCCAAGTATGCTGGACATTGGAACAGTCCTTCGGCGGCACTCGATGACTTAGTATGCTTGAAATAGTGGCTCTGGAGCAGCCTTACTCGCGATTGAGAAACATTACATTGCATTTAGCTGACGCTTTTATCCAAAGCGACTTACAATAAGTACATTCGACCAGGAAGAGAGCCAAACATTTCAAGTGCTACTCAACTGGCTTTAGATAAGCCAGTCCTTTATTAGTATAAAAGTGCTTTGTTAATAGTTCTATCGCTCGAAGTGGAGTCGAAAGAGATGAGTTTTCAGTCTGCGCCGGAAGATGGGCAAGCTATCTGCTGTCCTGATGTCAATGGGGAGCTCATTCCACCATCTTGGAGCCAGGATAGCAAACCCACGTGTTTTTGCCGATGGGAACTTGGGTCCCCTTCGCAGCGAGGGCGCAGCGAGTCGTTTGGCTGATGCAGAGCGTAGTGCACGCGCTGGGGTGTACGGTTTAACCATGTCCTGGATGTTGGAAGGGCCAGATCCATTCGCAGCATGGTACGCAAGTACCAGTGTCTTGAAGTGGATTCTAGCAGTTACCGGAAGCCAGTGAAGGGAGCGGAGGAGCGGAGTAGTGTGGGAAAATTTAGGAAGGTTGAAGACCAGACGAGCCGCTGCATTCTGGATGAGCTGCAGAGGTCGGATGGCACATGCAGGTAGACCAGCCAGGAGGGAGTTGCAGTAGTCTAGGCGTGAGATGACGAGAGCCTGGACCAGAACCTGCGTCGCTTTCTGTGTCAGCTGGGGACGTATCTTCCTGATGTTGTAAAGCGTGTATCTGCAGCAGCGGGTTGTAGCAGCGATGTTTGCAGTGAAGGACAGGTTGTTATCTAGGGTCACACCCAGATTCCTTGCAGTCTGAGTCGGGGAAACAACAGAGGTGCCAATGTTGATTGTTAGGTCAAGAGTGGGACAATCTTTTCCCGGGAGGAAGAGCAGCTCAGTCTTGTCAAGGTTGAGCTTGAGGTGATGATCAGACATCCACTGAGAGATGTCAGCTCGACAAGTAGAGATGCGTGCGACGACCTGGGTCTCTGAGCGGGGGAAGGACAGAATTAATTGGGTGTCGTCAGCGTAGCAGTGGTAAGAAAAACCATGCGGGCTAATGACTGATCCGAGTGAGTTTGTGTACAGGGAGAAGAGGAGGGGACCGAGAACAGAGCCCTGAGGGACCCCTGTAGTTAATTGACAAGGGTGGGACTCAGACCCTCTCCAAGTCACCCTGTAGGTACGGTCTTTCAGGTATGAGGTGAGGAGGGAAAGTGCAGAGCCTGAAACTCCAAGTTTTTGGAGAGTGCGAAGGAGGATCTGATGATTCACCGTGTCGAATGCAGCAGACAGGTCCAACAGGACAGAGGAGAGGGATGCAGTTTTGGCAGTGTGCAGTTCCTCCGTGACAGCAATGAGAGCAGTTTCTGTGGAGTGACCCACTTTCTGTCTTCTTCTGCTGTTCCCGTTAGTGTTTACTTCCTGTCTTCTTTAGTGTTGCACATAGTCCATTAATCAGATGTCAACAGTCTGCTCTCCTTAGCAACGGTCTGCTTGCAAAAAACAGCTTACTGCAGAATATTCCAAATCTAATGATTCATTAAAGTCCACTGTTGATCCCTTAACCTGGAAAATAACACGCGAGTTGGTCTAAACCTGATGAAAACATGCCATCACAGTTAAAATGAACATCTAGTATAAAAAAACATTGATTTCTGGAGCTATAAAGGAGTTCTCTACACTTTAATTTCCCCATTGCGTTAAAAAAACATCGTTGAGATGATAAATGCTTCAAGAGCCTTAAAGGTCCCATGTCATGGTCATTTCTACTGATCATAATTCCATTGTTGAGGTCTACTCGAATAGATTTAAATTGTGCAATTTTCCAAACTCACATTGGTGTCTCATACAGCATCTCTGTAAAGTATGTGTATTCACTCTCTGTCCTAAACGGCTTGTTGGAACTCCTGCCCCCCCCTCCCTATGAGCCCAGTGGCCGTCTGCGAGACTGCGAAACCCAGCCCGAACACACACACACACACACCCGCAGCCTGGCTGGGAGTTTGTGTGTGTGCTCACACACCGACTCACAGCCTCGCCGCGTCCCGCCGTCTCAGGGAGGAGAAATCGGCGGAGCTGCAGCTGAGAAAAGATTGAGTGTGTGTGAGAGGGAGTCCGCGGATTGGTCCAATCCACGGACTTAACGTAACGGCTCCACGGATTGGTCCATTTGGGTATGGGCCCGTCACTGTACCCAGGAAGAAAAAGAGAAATCCCCAAGGAGGCGTTCTGGGGCAGCAGACAGGTCTTTTCTGTGTTAGAGTTTTACTCGCTACAGGGTGTACTTTGAGGGTTTGTGACTCTGCAGACCGTTTACATGCAGAAAAACCTTCATAACACAAGGGGACGGGTGATAACCGGAAAAGCATGACATGGGACCTTTAAAAAGTGAAGTGAGTGATCTAAAAGTAACCCTCCCTGGTGATCACACTGTATTATCTAACCGCTAACAGACTGCTGTTTCTCCGAACAGTTTGCATTAGTGTAATTTACTTATCGTACAGCGAGGGTTGCCCCCCCGACCCCTCCTGTCCTCATGGGGAATGTGAGGCATGTCCTGTCTGTGAGACAGAAACTGTATTCAGAGCTGCAGCATTTAAAACCTTCAATGAGTTCAGTTCAGGAGGCTGGAGGCTGCTTTACCTCGCTCTCTAAAGCTAGACTCTGATTCTGTCTGCGCACCAAAGCTGCTTCTCATTCAGGTCGTCGTTACGGACTGAGATTTATTTATTGCTTCGTTTATTTTCAACTTTTGATCTGTTGTCAACACAATATTTAAAGTGGTGCAGGATTCTTTTCTGGAGAGACTCAGTTTTCCTTGTTTATTTGTTTATTCCACACACTGCAGTTATTTAAAAACAGAACATATACACTTTACAAAACCTGTCTGTACACTTATACTGGTTTTGTTTTATTTTTTGTTTTTTGTATAGCGCATGCCAGAGTTTCCGTTAGAATATTTGTTTGCCGGTCAAAATGTCCGTTAAAGTTTAAATCTTCCGGACAAAATGAGAAAAGTGCCGGTCAAAGGTCTTCTTTGTTATTTATTGAGCTTTAAAACAAATGGATATGATTCGATATTAAACAATCTAATTATAGTAGATTAACTACATTATTCAAAAGTGTTCAGTAACTTATAATAACACGGGAATAATAAACGGAGCACTCTCTCCCTCTCCTGACAGCCCGTCAGTCTCATGCAGCTCGCGGATCAGTAATGAGTGACCCGACAGTAAAACTAAACATATCTATAACTAGTTTAGGTAGTTTGAGAGGTCATTAAAATAACTACGTGTGATATTCTAACCTGAAGTGTGTGTTTTGTTCCGCTCACCGCTGCATGTGATCATGCAGAGCTGCATGTCGACTCGTCAGCAGCAGCTGATCTCTCTCTCTCTCCCGTCAGATTAGACTTCACTCGCGTTTATGTCCATATCGATCAGATCCAGCTAGTTCTAGCTAATGATAGGACTACCTGCTTATTAAAAGACACCTAAACAATAAGTGTCGCTATGCAACCGGGTGAGGCCGCAAAGTATAGCGCAGCATTATGCATTTGTTTACATGCCCACCGGAACCCCGAGGCATTACCAACAGATCAACGTACAATCAACCCATACAGGACATCTCTTTCTCCACATGAAGTGTTAGACATTAGAATTGACTCTTCTTGTCTGTCACATAAGTGGCGTAACTGAAGCGGTATTGCGCTAAGGGGAAATTATTTTGACCGGAGAGATTTAGATTTGCCGGTCTTCAGCATATTTTACCGGTCAAAGTCCGGTAATAAAAGCAATATTCTTTCAGTCACAGTTGCTTACCAATACTGAAACATAAAACCAGAACACGCTCAAAATGTGTCGCATTAACCACTAAGAATTCAGTTTTTATGATTTATAAGATGCTGAAATGTTTCACAATAAAGTGGAATGGGCATTCAGCCCCAAAAGGGATGTATGTTGACGGAAACCCACATTGGCATCTGATTCTTTCAAAATAAAAGACCAAAACGGTGACTTTATCTTAACGGAAAAGTACCTATTTCTTTCCGACTGTTTGTTATATGTGACTTTTGTAAAGCGTCTTTGTGTGTCTGGAAAAGCTCTATATTCATTCAATGTATTATTATTATTATTATTATGATGTTAAGGCATGGGATTATATGAAACTTCCCCGTCAAAATTATCCTGAAAATCATAAAAAAGACGCCTTTTTCCAAATAAAACTGAAATTGACATGTTTCTCTCTTTCTCTCCGTCAGGATGTTACAGGATGAAACGTCTCCATTCCTCCAGCAGCAGCGACAGTTCTGACAATGAGAGTAAGTCTTCTGCTAAACACATAACATAAACTATTAAAAAGGTGATGTGGTTTTATTCACACCCTCTTTCTTCCTTTAGGTCCCTCTACTTCTTTCTGCTCCTCAAACAAATATGGCGGCAAACCTGAAACCCCCGCCGCCGACCCGAAGAAACCGGCTGAAGTACGTTTATTTCCTCTATTAAAAAAATAACATGTACTTGTGGGTTATCTGTCACCACTTTCTCACAAAAAATATACTATCCCTAACCCTAATCTCTAAGTGGGTAATTAGAGAGTCTGAAAAAAACAAAAAAAGTGGCGACAGATAACCCACCAGTACCCTACAACAACAACAACAACACATGCCTTAAAGGTCACCTATTATGCAAAATCCTCTTCTTCATGTCTCTTCTACATCAACATGTGTCCCCTCTTCTTCATGTCTCTTCTACATCAGCATGTGTCCCCTCTTCTTCATGTCTCTTCTACATCAACATGTGTGTCCTCTTCTACATGTCTCTTCTACATCAGCATGTGTGTCCTCTTCTCCATGTCTCTTCTACATCAACATGTGTGTCCTCTTCTACATGTCTCTTCTACATCAGCATGTGTCCCCTCTTCTTCATGTCTCTTCTACATCAACATGTGTGTCCTCTTCTACATGTCTCCTCTACATCAACATGTGTGTCCTCTTCTTCATGTCTCTTCTACATCAACATGTGTCCCCTCTTCTTCATGTCTCCTCTACATCAACATGTGTCTCCTCTTCTTCATGTCTCTTCTACATCAACATGGTGTCCCTCTTCTATCATGTCTCTCTACATCAACATGTGTCTCCCTCTTCTCTCATGTCTCTTCTACATCAACATGGTGTCCCCTCTTCTTCATGTCTCTTCTACATCAACAGATGTCCCCTCTTCTTCATGTCTCTTCTACATCACATGTGTCCCCTCTTCTTCATGTCTCTTCTACATCAACATGTGTCCTCTTCTCTCATGTCTCTTCTACATCAACATGTGTCCCCTCTTCTTCATGTCTCTTCTACATCAACATGTGTCCCCTCTTCTACATGTCTCTTCTACATCAACATGCGTGTCCTCTTCTCCGTGTCTCTTCTACATCAACATGTGTCCCCTCTTCTTCATGTCTCTTCTACATCAACATGCGTGTCCCTCTTCTCCGTGTCTCTTCGACATCAACATGTGTCCTCTTTCTTCCTGTAACTCTCTACATCAACAATAGTGTCCCTCTTCTTTCATGTCTCTTCTACATCAACATGTGTCCCCTCTTCTTCATGTCTCTCTACATCACATGGTGTCCCCTCTTCTTCAGTGGTCTCTTCTACATCAACATTGTCCCCTCTTCTTCATGTCTCTTCTACATCAACATGTGTCCCCATCTTCTTCATGTCTCTTCTCTGCTACATCAACATGTGTCCCCTTCTTCTTCATGTCTCTTCTACATCAACATCTGTCCCCTTTCTTCATGTCTCTTCTACAATCAACATGTGTCCCCTCTTCTTCATGTCTCTTCTACAATCAACATGTGGTCCCCTCTTCTTCATGTCTCTTCTACATCAACATGTGTCCCCTTTCTTCATGTCTCTTCTCATCCACATGTGTCCCCTCTTCTTCATGTCTCTTCTACATCAACATGTGTCCCTCTCTTCTGTCTCTTCGACATCAACATGTGTCCCTCTTCTTCAGTCTCCTTCTTCATCAACATGTGTCCCCTCTTCTCCATGTCTCTTCTACATCAACATGTGTCCCCTCTTCTCCATGTCTCTTCTACATCAACATGTGTCCCCTCTTCTCCTGTCTCTTCTACATCAACATGTGTCCCCCTCTTCTTCATGTCTCTTCTACATCAACATGTGTCCCCTCTGTGGAAAGAGACTCTGAAAGTTTCAGGAACAAAGATTCTCTCTCTTTTTGTCCTGATCCATTTCTATAAAAACCTGTCTGAAAATGAGCTGATCAGATTTTGGCCACTTTATGTGTTATAACCAGGGCTGCACATAACTGGTGCGCATGCGCACCTCCGCCAAAAAAAGAGCACCGGGTCATTTGAAAAAAGGCGCATTTGCGCACCAACATTGAGAGAGAGAGAGAGGGAGAGAGAGAAAGATATTTGCAAGTTGCATATGAACTCAGGGCCGGCCCGTGGCACTGGCGTTATAGATGTTCGCCTAGGGCGCCAGATCTGTGGAGGCGCTACGCTGTCAGCTCTGGGAGGGAAAAAAACATTTTTGACCGTTGGGGCTCATCCTAATTTTTGGCCTTGATGTAACAACATTCATAATTAAGTAAATGTAACACCCTTTTCACCCCGGTTACACGTTTCATTTGCCCTGCACAATGGGCGCTCGCCGTAAGTGATGAAAATGGGGGATGTTGGCTTATCTGGCGCCCGCAGCTCACAGCCAAAGTGCGACTGAGCGTGGGAGAGAGGGAGGGTGCACCGGTTCCGGCGCTGTTGTTATTAGAATCTGGTGCTAGCTGCTCTAACGGATATAAGAAGAAGATGTTTCTACAATTATGTGGAGGGAGATTCCTCTCCAGTCAGACTGAGAGGCTGATACTACAGCTCAGTGAGGTAAAGGACTCTGAGTGTTTAGATAGTTAACTTTAGTCTAAAGTTATCTCAGTGGGTCTCAAACGTTTTGATCACAATTTATGTAAACACATATTTCCAAGGCACTCCTTTATAATTATTGGGATAAACAGGTTTGAAATAATTCCAATGTATACTATAGGACAGTAACCAAAAATATCCTTTAAAACTGGAGAGATAAAAAAAATACATAAATAAATAAATGTTAAGGTAAAATAAGATATGAATGAACAACATAAATAAAATAAGTTACATTCATTTGTTATTGGCTAAGGTAGGTTATTGGTTATGTTCACATACTTATTTGATTACATCCACTTTTCTAAGATGACAACAGAGACTTTCGACCCAAAACCAGCAGCTAATCGCAGACTCAAACAGAGAGAAAGAAGTAGGCCTACATCATCAGCTACCATGTCTGACAGAGAGGAAGACAGTGAGGAGAACAGTCAGGAGGATAGTGATGACAGCTTGTAGGATTACTGGTCGTGCTAATGTTGTCTTGTGTTCACCTCTGCATGTGTGTTCTGTGTTCACCTCTGCATGTGTGTTCTGTGTTTCCCTCTGCATGTGTGTTCTGTGTTCACCTCTGTGTGTTCAGTGCCGTGTGTCTGGCAAATAAAGTCAAGACCCCCTCAAAAGTTACGGTTTATTTCATTTTAAGGATGAGCACCAAGCAACATCTCCAGGTGCTCCTTTGAGAACCAGGGCAAAAAAGTTATGTGCACCCCTGGATATAACGTTTTTTTTGGCTTGTGTGACATTAGCCAATCAGCAACCAAGGTACCCCCCACCTTATCACCTGAATCTCCTCCTAGAGCACATGTGTCAAACTCAAGGCCCGGGGGCCAAATCAGGCCCTTGGTAGGAGGCTGTGGCTCAGTGAGATAGTGCGCTGAACTTCAGGGTGTAGCAAGTTCGAGTCCCACTGCAGTCAGCATGTCGTTGTGTCCCTGAAGACACTTCACCCCAAATTGCTCCTTTGGGGATTGTCCACAGTATTGAATGTATGTAAGTCGCTTTGGATAAAAGCGTCTAACAAGTAACATGTAGTGTAATGTAATTTTGGCCCGCAGGATAATTTTTAATTACTATTGGATCTGGAAAAATGTAATCATAAGAACTGACTCTGGAAAAGCTGCAGATAGAGCCATAAGAAATTAATGCAACTGATTATTTAATGTTGTTTTTATAGGCAATCATTTAAGCTTTGTTAGTTCCAGGTTTAATATGTGCAATAAGTTCATTTCAATAAGTTTTGCAATAAACATTGAACCAGTCCGGCCCTCCACTAGTACCCATTTTTTTATGTTGTCCCACTGTGTATTTGAGTTTGACCCCCCCTGTCCTAGAGCACCATTGAGTTCTTTCTAACCACATCTCTGTCAGAGGGGCGTGGGGAGGGGCTCCTTATTTTCATCTAAAGTAACAGAGAGAATCAGCACTTTTGAAACAGGGCTGAAACAGAGGGGATTATGGGATGCTGTGATCTGTATTTGTAATGTCTGATTGTGATTTCCCCCCCCCTCCTCTCAGGTGTTCAGAAAAGACCTGATCAGCGCCATGAAGATTCCCGACTCGCACCACGTGTCTCAGGAGGATTACTACCTGCTGGCTGACACCTGGAAGCAGGAGTGGGAGAAGGGGGTTCAGGTGCTGGCGTGCCCCGACACCATCCCTCAGGCCTCCGTCAGGTAACACTACATTTACTGACTTCAGTGGAAATATGCTTTCATTCCTTAGAGCAGGGGTGTCCAAACTTTTTTCCCCGAGGGCCACATACAGACAAATATACGAAGGGCTGGGCCACTCACTAGAGGCGAGGTATACTGCCTCATAAGTTCAGTTATAAGTTGGAAAAGTCAATCAAATGTAGGTAAATTATTCTTGATACTTGAAAATGCTGTTAGATCACAGCTCTCCATAAGGTTTCATTTATTTTTTTGGCTCATTCCTTAAAACAGAAGCTTCAGATTGATTATAAAAAGGAAAATATGAAGGGTGTATTTCAAGCTTGTAATGAAAATAAGTAGGGATGCACGATAATTATCGGCCCGATAATTATCGGTCCGATATTAGGAATTATGACGTCATCCCGATACCAGTATTAATAGCCCCGATAATATACAATATATTTTTTGGGTAACAAAAAATACTGCGGTGTGGGTGGATTGGGATGAGGGGCGCTTGTTTTTCACTCGGCTCCTCCCGTTTTGCCAGTACTGTGGTATTAGTGGTTTAGGAAGAGGGGAGTTTTTCACAAATCCAGCGCTCCCTAACTCGTGAAGCCAGGACAGTAAACAAACATGTCGTCGGTGGTATGGGCGTTGGAGCTATGTGCAACTCAAGGCATATGCTCGAACCGGAGCTGCCTGGACGCTGCAATCATGTTGAGCACTATCCGTTCTGAGTGTGCTGACTTTTCGTACAATGTCCCACTGTCTGGCTTCCTGCATAAAGTCAAGTGCTCGGCGCAGTTGTGGCGAAATGTCGCTCCTCTGTTTTCATTTAAACAGCTCCATATCCGTTAGCGCAGCTAGCTAGCACCAGATGCTAACAACAACAATGCACGTAAGGTCTCTCTCTCGCTCGGGCCACACATACACACACCCTCCCGGTCCTCCAGATGGCCAGTCGGTGCCTGCCGGTGAGCGTGGAAGTGTGGTCTGCCACAAGCGGGCAACAGGAGCGGGGCTGTCAGCATCAGCTTGTAGATAGTATTTTAAACTCGATGCGCTCTGAAAAATACACGCGTTAATCGCGTTAAAATAATTAGTGGCGTACATTTTTTTTGTATTATCGGTCTTGAGAAGCAGGAAGTTATCGGTATCGGTTTCAAAAAACCAATATCGTGCATCCCTAAAAATAAGTCATTGGGCTTTTTTCTTATCAACTAAGATATGTTAGAAAATGTTTCCAACTTTAATTGACTGAATTTATTTGAAGTGATCTTATTAACACATGAATACTACTGTGTAATATATTTGAACATATATATTTAAGAAGCACAATATAAGAAAAGCATAGTTTATTATACTTAAGTCATTATACTTTTTGAATTCGCTGAGGGCCGGTTCAAAACGGTCCGCGGGCCACATTTGGCCCCCGGGCCGTAGTTTGGACACCCCTGCCTTAAATACTACTCTTCAGCACTCGAGGATATCATCCCAAAACCTTATGTGGCCTCGTGGTTTCCTTCCCTTTGCTTCTTTTGCTCATGTCCTAGCTCCACTAATTCATTATCGCCCAATTATTTTTATAATAATAAGACGTATTAATTACAGGGGGTCCGCGGGGTCTTAAAAAGTATTAAAAGTTGATCAATCAATTTAGCGAAAATTAAGCCTATTAAACAGCATTTTCCAAGGTGTTACATTTTGTAGCTTGTTTTCAATAAGTATATAAATGGTCCAAAGAGGTTGTATTCTACAGTGTGCCTGAATGTAATCATGGCGTAGGTGTGTAGTGTGATTCTGTGTAGTTTATTGATGGCATCCCGTTGGGTTTGACGTCATCTGAACAGGACATCGCACGCTCACTGCTTGATAGCGCGAGGGTCCGTTTACGCTGGTTGTTAAACAACATCGTTATGGGGAAATGCAAGTCTGCGTCCAAATGGTTGGAAGATAAGGAGGAAGGACAATCAATACTGTATATAGTCAATGTGAGGTAAAGTGTGTCGCCAAGGTAACCGGTTAGAACTCCAAGTGGAGATGAGGTCTTAAAATGTATGGAAAGGGTCTTAAAAAAGGTCTTGAAAGGAATTACATGTGACTTCAGGATTCCTGCATATACCCTGTAATGGCATTATATGGCCATTCGTATATTAACATTGTTTAATTTATGCATAGAGAGTCAAGATCGATAGATAGATCTTTAATTTGTCATTGTACAGGTACAACGAAATTACAATGAACTCAAGGTGCCAACACGCAACAACAAGACAATATAAAAACAAGAAATGGGACTTAAATAGACATGATAGGGAATATGTACATAAATAAATAATAAATTAAATTGCTGATGAACAGAGACTGAGCGCTGAGTCTTCATTTCAACACACAGAGACTTTAGAGAATTATCCTGCAGTTGACAGCGTAGCCCACTGAAAACGTAGTGTGCCTAAACGGGCAGAAATAAACAATGCCGTTTTACAAAATGTATTTTTTGTGTGACTTCTCAGGGTCGTGTTTATTTTGCTCTGCACACTGAATCAGCAGCGGCAACGTTTTGTAGGAAAAGCAGGATTTCATTTACCAATCCCAAAACTTCTTCCTGCATCTCGGGCTCCTAGCCAATGCCGATGTCTTGCAGATTCATCGGAGCATCCCTACTATTGTGCTGCTACAACTTAATTCACCTACAACATAACAACTGGAGTCCTTGTTGGCTCTGCAGCACTGAATGCTTCTGTTTCCTGTGTTTCAGAGCGGTGCTGGAGAGTCCCAAAGAGCTGCTGTTCACGCTCCAGAGGAAGTTCATCCAGAGCTCCGGTCAGGAGTCCGCGGAGCCGGGATACGTGAACATCAAGGAGCTGTCGGAGAACATGTGCCGCTACGACCTGGACGACATGGACCTGCACTGGCTGCACGGCCTCAACACGCAGCTGCAGCGCATGGGTGAGGAGAGAGGCTGCTCGCTGGAGCTGGAGCATCCATTACATTACATGTTCCCACTACTGTTGGAAATGGGCGACTGTGTCTCCACCACTTTGCATTAGGATCATTTGTTAAAAATGTTCTGAAAATATCGTGCGAACATGTACAATCTGGAGGGCTGTTCACACCATCGGAGTGTATTTCTGGTAACCCAAGTTGTGGAGTTTGGACCTGCGACACGTTTAATATTAGTTATGATTGAATAGAGAATAGCTTTGCAACAGCGTAGTATAGTAACTTCACTAGTTGTCAAAACAATTTGTGAATTATCGTGTTTTTCGAGCAAGGCAATTTTATTTATATAGCAACTTCAACACAAGGCAATTCAAAGTGCACAAGCTAATATAGAATAACACATATATAAAATACATGCATAGAAGTTGCAGTGTAAGATATGAATAGGTCAATTAAAAGCAACGGCAAAAATAGTTATTGTTGTGTTTTATATATTTTTAGTGTTTTTATGAATTTTAGCATGTAAAGTGTCTTGAGCGCTCTTCAAAGCAAATGTATTGCTACGTCAGAATGCATTGTTACTACATCCACAGAATCACCAGCTGCCTCCCTAAAGCTGGAGATATTAAACGCACTAAAACTATCTGTTCTTCAGGCGAGGAAACGATCGACGAGCTGACGATGGAGCGCGTGATGGAGGCGCTGGAGACGCAGTGCCACGAGAACATGAAGCACGCCATGGAGACGGTGGAGGGGCTCGGCATCGAGTACGACGAGGACGTGATCTGCGACGTGTGCCGCTCCCCCGACAGCGAGGAGGGCAACGACATGGTGTTCTGCGACAAGTGCAACATCTGCGTCCACCAGGTAAACACACGCGGCAGCATACATGTGGGAGTCAGCCAATTCAACATGACGTATTCTGCAGATTGTAGATTTAGTTTGAGTGTCTGGGAGAAACTCCACCTGGAGGGAATATCCTCCATCCCTCACATACTTCTGTATATATAATAACTTGCTTTATATTTTGTTTTTGTTCCTGTTAATTTGTAAATTCAACATGTATATTTTTCTTGTTTATTTCTAGTCTTTTTAATTTGTATTGTACAATGTCTTTTATGCTGCTGCAACACATCGATAAATCCTCCTATCCTATCCTAATACGCAGATTGTAGCCTTTGCAGACCGTTTGCATGCACAGAAACCTATAGAGCACACTACAGGGAAGGGAAACCCACAACAAGCAGAATAGAATTTGTCCTCGTTGCTGGAAACATTGAGTCTATAATATCGTAAATGCTTCTCTCTCCCAGGCGTGTTACGGCATCGTCAAAGTGCCCGTGGGGAACTGGCTCTGCAGGACCTGTGTCCTCGGCATCGACCCGCAGTGTATCCTCTGTCCTCAGAAGGGAGGGGCCATGAAGGCAACACGGGCCGGGACCAAGTGGGCCCACGTGAGCTGCGCCCTGTGGATCCCAGAGGTACAAATCCAACCTCTTTGTGTGATTCTACAGTGAAGTTGATTTATTTAATTTATTTGTATTGACATTTGGCAGCAAACATCTACACAGCGTTTTTTGAAGACATAATAATTGTACATTTTAAGTTTGTCTGTCCGAAATGCCTTTTTCTTTTTTTTACACAAAAATAAAAACAGTAAAAAGTACGAACATTAGGGAGTGATCAGGACTTCACAGTAAAATCATACATTTGTAAAAATAAAATCTGGCCTATGAGGTTTTACGAAATCAGTCCACTTTCTCCATCGTGACACAAGTAGTTCCAGTTTGTGATTGACAGATGATGTTATCCTCTCCATTTTGTAAATGTCCATTGTAATATCCATCCATGCGTTTAAAGTTGGGCTATCTGGTGATAACCACTTCTTTGTAAGAGCTTTTTTACTCGCCACCAGCAACAGATTTAATACATATTTGTCTTTTTTAGTCCATTCTTGAAGTGTGAGTCCAAAGAACAAAGTCTTAGGGTACGTCCACACAGCAGCTTTTCAAAAAACTTGAAAATCTTGGAGGTGGGCGTGTCTGAAAGCTTGGGGATTTTTTGCAAGCAACGCGACCAACAACCAATCACATGAATCTCCCGCCCCCGACATACAAAGCAAAAAACCCCGGGGTTTTTATGCGAGCAATATATATATATATAAACTCCCCAAACAGGCGAAAACCTACCAGTTTCACCCACTATCTCTGCCACCTCCCTCCATGCCTGGTTCCTCCGGTTTGTATCCCGTTAATAGTTCTGGTCGTAAAGAACCGGGTGATTTGCTACCGTCATTTCTCGTTTGGAATATGAGGAAATGAACTGCGGTCTCGTTCTCCCTGCTTACACGCGGTTTGATTGGCTAGCGCTTCTACTGTCAGATTTGCATAAACGGGATTTGATTGGCTGACGCTTCCACCTCAGCTTCAAAAGTTGAACATTGCTCAACTTTTGAATCCTGAAAATCCTGGAAATCCTGGAAATCTTCGCTTCGCTCCCCCACAATGCAGTTCGGCGAAAAGCGAGGCAAAGTGACGTCATCCCCATTCAAAGTCAATGGGCAGAGAAGCGTTGGAAGCGTTGGAAGATTTGTTTAAAGCTGCTGTGTGGACGTACCGTTAGGGTGCACACCTAATAGTCCGTTTCTCAGCTGCGCACAGTTTGTTACATTGTTTCATTCTTCAGAAGGTTCGGTTTGCGTTCACAGGCAAAACTCAAACGGACTATAAACTTTAAACGCAAGTCATGTGCACGGAAATGCTGTTCAACCATTGGTCAGACATTACGGGGGTAAAAACGCAAATCCCGGCAATTTCTACCGGAGCCTCCGCCATGGAGCATCGGCACTTTCGGCAGGTTATTCTCATGCTGCTGTTAATCTGGAGATCAACAGACACTAGCAGCCCGCACATATGATTATATAATCAGACAACGTCCGTTAAAAAACATTATAACATAATGAGAGACGTTCTGCAGTAAGGAGGGGCGTTTCACCGACGACAGGTGTTCTTCATTTTATGTAGCTAACGGAGAATTGTTACTTTACACGACACTGTTCAACACTTCATTCTGCTTCACTCTTTAACTAAACAACCGCGGATGTCTTGAAAGACTCTTTCGCTAAAGATTTTGAAGACATCCGCGTTCTTGTGACACGTAAATACTACGCTTCCTATGTTTTGGTGCGGACTGCGTCACACCAGCAATGAACCGCTCCAGAGTTCGCAAGCAAGCGCTCAGAGACCACCTCTTTTAGCGGACCAGAGTCCGGTTGTTTAGTTCACTTAAGAGGTCTCGGACTGCGTTCACACCGACCCAAATGAACCGCACCAAGCGGCTAAACGCACCAGGGTTCGATTCAACCGGACTATACAAGGCAGGTGTGAACGCACCCTTACTCTCCATGGATACATGACATTTGAAAATATCTCGTAAGGCATTATGTATGTCTCTCCTAAAGACCTTAACAGGGCAGAGCCAGAAAACCTGATCATGATTTGAATTTCTTTAATGTGGAAATTTAAGAAATGATTCGATTAAAAGACATGCATAACAACATTCACTTTGATACATAAAATAAGTACATAACGATTCACAAATGAGGAAGGGAAAACACAAATTAATCATAACTTATAAGGTATAGCTAGATGCAACATTATTACACATCACCAGGTCATTATTAATGTTTAAATGTTCAAACTGTGAAGTTTAAAGTATAAACTTTAAATATGAACTTGTCCTCTTCTCTCTCTGCAGGTGAGCATCGCCTGTCCGGAGAGGATGGAGCCGATCACCAAAGTGTCGCACATCCCCCCCAGCCGGTGGTCCCTCATCTGCAGTCTGTGCAAGTGGAAGACAGGGGCCTGTATCCAGGTGAGGGTCCTTAAAAATAAATATCACAATGGGCCAATGTAACCGGTTAAAACTCGAAGTGGCGCTGAGGTCTTAAAATGTATGGAAAGGGTCTTAAAAGGTTTTACATTTGACTTCAGGATTCCTGCTTATACCCTGCTTCCATGTTATTCAGTGTTTTTCCCTCCATATTAACAACATCATCCGTGTTCTCCCCTCAGTGCTCGGTGAAGAACTGCACCACCCCCTTCCACGTGACCTGCGCCTTCGAGCACAGCCTGGAGATGAAGACCATCCTGGACGAGGGCGACGAAGTCAAGTTCAAATCCTACTGCCTGAAGCACAGCAAGTCCAAAGAGCCCGGACTGAGCCCCGCTCGATCCAAAGCCCCTCCCGAGGCGCAGAAGGGGGGGCAGCGCGCTCAGAGGCTGCAGGAGCTGGAGGAGGAGTTCTTCACCCGGGTGCAGCAGGAGGACCTGGTGGGGGTCGTGGGGCTGTCGCTGCGCCTCGTGGACTTCATCTTCCAGTACTGGATGCTGAAGAGGAAGGCCAACTTCAACCGAGCCCTGCTGCCCCCCCGACAGGGCGAGGAGGGCCTGGAGCTGCAGCCGCAGGAGGACAGCATCCACACCCGCATGAGGATGTTCATGCACCTGAGGCAGGACCTGGAGAGGGTGGGTGCTGCCTGCTTTATAGTTTCAAGGCTTTTATTGTCATGTGTTCATAGTTAGTGTAAGGCAAGGCAAGTTTCTTTGTATAGCATCTTTCAACACAAGGCAATTGAAAGTGCTTTACAAAAATGAAAGCAAAGATAATAAAATATACATTAAAAGACAAAATACATGATTAAAAGTTTCAGTGCAGTTTAAGATGTGAATAGTTCAATTAAAAGCAGCGTCAAAAAGAAAAGTCTTTAGTCTGGATTTAAAAGTAGTCAGAGTTGCAGCAGACCTGCAGGTTTCTGGGAGTTTGTTCCCGATATTGGAGCATAATAACTAGGGATACACGATAATTATCTATTATATATTAGGAATTATGACGTCATCCCGATAAACCCGATACCAGTATTAATAGCCCCGATAATATACAATATATCTTTTGGGTAAAAAAAAAAGAAAAAAATACTGCGGTGTGGGTGGATTGGGATGAGGGGCGCTTGTTTTTCACTCGGCTCCTCCCGTTTTGCCAGTACTGTGGTATTAGTGGTTTAGGAAGAGGGGAGTTTTTCACAAATCCAGCGCTCCCTAACTCATGCCTGGCTGTGACTTAAATGGTGTGCGGCCGTGAAGCCAGGACAGTAAACAAACATGTCGTCGGTGGTATGGACGTTGGAGCTATGTGCAACTCAAGGCATATGCTCGAACCGGAGCTGCCTGGACGCTGCAATCATGTTGCGCACTATCCGTGCTGAGTGTGCTGACTTTTCGTACAATGTCCCGCTGTCTGGCTTCCTGCATAAAGTCAAGTGCTCGGCGCAGTTGTGGCGAAATGTCGCTCCTCTGTTTTCATTTAAACAGCTCCTTGTATCCGTTAGCGCAGCTAGCTAGCACCAGATGCTAACAACAACAATGCACGTAAGGTCTCTCGCTCGCTCGGGCCACACATACACACACCCTCCCGGTCCTCCAGATGGCCAGTCGGTGCCTGCCGGTGAGCGTGGAAGTGTGGTCTGCCACAAGCGGGCGGCAGATGGTATTTTAAACTCGATGCGCTCTGAAACTACGGGGCGGCCAAGGAAAAAAAATACACATGCGTTAATCGCGTTAAAATAATTAGTGGCGTAAAAATTGTTTGTTATCGGTCTTGAGAAGCAGGAAGTTATCGGTATCGGTTTCAAAAAAACAATATCGTGCATCCCTAATAATAACTGAACGCAGCTTCTCCATTTTTTGTTCTGACTCTGGGGACAGAAAGTAGTTGACATGTAGTCATGTGACCGTGCTGTAGTTCCTTTTATAGCCCAACATTAGCCACCTTTAGCTTAGCGGTGGTGACGTGAAGTCATGTGACCGTGCTGTAGTTCCTTTTTATAGCCCAACATTAGCTGCCTTTAGCTTAGCGGTGGTGACGTGAAGTCATGTGACCGCGCTGCAGTTCCTTTATAGCCCAACATTAGCCACCTTTAGCTTAGCGGTGGTGACGTGAAGTCATGTGACCGCGCTGCAGTTCCTTTATAGCCCAACATTAGCCTCCTTTAGCTTAGCGGTGGTGACGTGAAGTCATGTGACCGCGCTGCAGTTCCTTTATAGCCCAACATTAGCCTCCTTTAGCTTAGCGGTGGTGACGTGAAGTCATGTGACCGCGCTGCAGTTCCTTTATAGCCCAACATTAGCCTCCTTTAGCTTAGCGGTGGTGACGTGAAGTCATGTGACCGCGCTGCAGTTCCTTTATAGCCCAACATTAGCCTCCTTTAGCTTAGCGGTGGTGACGTGAAGTCATGTGACCGCGCTGCAGTTCCTTTATAGCCCAACATTAGCCGCCTATAGCTGTAGTTCCTTTATAGCAGGCATGGGCAAACTAAGGCCCGCGGGCTATATATGGCCTGTTGGGCTTTTGAATCCGGCCCGCCAAATATTGGTACAAAATTGTCCAAATTATAGTAAAGCCTTTTTTTTTTTTTTTTGCAATACCCAGCATTTCAGTTGATCCCACTAGATGACGCACTCTAGACACAATTGACCTTTGCTGGTGTCTGGTCTATTCTCTGGCCCCACTCGGCAACCCGGCAAGATCAGAGAACCAAATATTTCACGCTTACATTGGAGGGGGCGAGATTAACCTGAGCAATAACAGTTCATGGCGAGGACAGCGAATACAAGTTGTAACAAGCAGTAGCGCTGAGCAAAGTGACTGGAACGCGACCACACACTCACTGTTATTGACCATTGTGAAAAGGCAGACGTTTTCCTGTTTTGTATTATTGCAACTATCGGATGGAATCAATACATGAGCTACATGTGGCCATCACAAGTAAAATCATAACGAAAACTACGCCGGTAAAATATGCGTGTAGAAAACGGCTTATGTCACAATATGATGGCAACAAGTAGTCAAGATAGTCTGATTAGCTGACATCACCTGTAGAATGCCAGAGAAACGTTCATAACAGCGTTGTGATGCCAAACAGCTTTCAGACTAAAACACATTCACTGATGGGGAATATTTATGTGACAGTCAGACAATGAAAACTTTACAGCCGCCACTGCCGCGAGTTAACGGGAGAATAAACTCCGGTAGACGAGCAGCACTGCAGCTGAACCACGTTAATAAACAATGCACTCTGGAGAAAGGTATAAGGTTGGAGAAGTAGTTCTTTAATTTAATCTGGCTTCGTATAATTAAAAACTACCAGACGCAGTCCTCTATTGATGTTGTTGTGAGCGGTGTTGCGGAGAAAATCAGCGACGTAAAACGCTGTGTGGGTCATAAGAAGGCACGTAAACGGTTACATCATGACGCAATAATTCACCTTTGAACCTGCATCTGTAACAATGAGTGGACCAAAGAAAAGTGTATAATGAGGAGTGGACAGCTAAATATCTTTTCACCGATCTGCTACTGGCCCGGTTCGTCTGTCAAATTTTAAAACTCATAGTGGCCCCCGAGCCAAAAAGTTTGCCCACCCCTGCTTTATAGCCTAATGTTAGATTTTTACTTGAGAGATCATAACATCGTGTTAATATGTTGAGATTATCCCGCTGAACAAAACGTGTAAGCATCATACGTTTTTTTGCCACAGATTATTTTCTGCAATAATCCAAAATCCAATCTGAATTCCTTACTTACAGGTAGCAGATAATGCAGTTGTAAAAGTGTGCAGTTCTCATTGTCTCAACCTCTCGTCCTGCAGGTGAGGAATCTGTGCTACATGGTGAGTCGTCGTGAGAAGCTGAAGGTTCTGCAGAGCAAAGCCCAGGAGCAGATGTTCAACCTCCACATGAAGCTGCTGAACCAAGAGCTCTCTGCTGGTGAGCCATCTGCCGCCATTTTGATGTTACTGCCAATAATATGCTGTGATATCACCTTGGGCAAGATGCTAGATGCTAGATGCTCCCGAAGGCATGAAATGTGTGTGAATGTTGGATTCCTTGGTTAAAAAGTGGCACATTGCTCTGTGTGAACGAGGTGTGAATGGGTGAGTGATGACTTTGAGGAAATGCAAAGACTATATATTATTATTATGATGCTATGATAACATGCAATTACGTATCTGCCACTACGTTTTTTTGCACTACTAAATACTGGTAATATTTACATTAATTATGTGACTGTCTATGTTTCCTGTAGATATTTAATTGCTCTTGTTACTGCACTTTTAGTTTACAGTTTTACTATCATGCTGCTGTGTTTATTGTATTTTTGTAACTCTGGCACAACAATTTCCTTCGGGTTAAATAAAGTCTTGTCTTATCTTATAAAGCGCTAAATAAATACAGTCCATTTATCATACAATCCAATCTGAAGCCTTTTGTTGTGTTCCTTCCTCCCCAGGTCTTCCTTCTTCCTCTTCAGCTGAGAGCGTGCTGTTTCGTCCTCCTCCGAGAATAACTCTGAAGCTAAAAATGCCCAAATCCTCCAGCCTGGGAAACGGTGGTTCTAAATCCGGGAATGGGCCGCTGTGCCCGGACAATAGCGTGAATGTGACGGATCATTCAGGGGAAGGGTTGGGTCTGGGGAAGCCTCAGATGCACGGACACAACCGGAGAGACGAACGTTCAAACGGGCGTATTTCGTCCTCTTCCTCTAGCCGCCCGATGCTCCCCGTCACGAAGCCCGGCGGGAAGCCTCTGGCTCTGCAGGCGGCGCTGCACGGACACGCCTCCCACAGCAACGGCAAATCCAACGGCCTGCTGGAGAAGCTGGTGTCGCAGAAGAAGGACAGTTCCTGCCAGACTCCCAGCGAGCAGGAAGCTACAAAAAGCAGCTTCCGTAAGTCCGCCATGGAGCACTTTGGCCGCTCCTTTAAAGAGGCCACCATCAACCTGGTGAGGACCACGGAGGACCTGAGGGCCTCCGACAAACTGAGCCGCAAAGAGAGACTGTGGGCCAAGCCGGTGTCGGAAACCCCGGTGGCGAGCGGGAGGCAGGACAGCGACGGGTACTGTCCCGACCTGGAGCTCAGCGACTCGGAGCCCGAGGCCAAAGGGAGGCACCGGCGGCGACAGGGGGGGGCGCCGGCCGACCCCCAAAAGAAACAGGGCTCCAGACACCCGGTGCAAAGGTGACGGCAGTGTGCACCCCCCCCTCCACACTGAAAAAGCTGAAATGTTGAGTTTAATTATATAAATGATCTCAACAGATTTCACATTATTGTATTAGGTTGGTTGAAAGCAATTAGGTCTAACTTAATATTGTTGCTAACCTAATACATGTTTGTGAAATCTGTTGATATGATACATTTAATTAAAGTCAGCGGTTCCGTTTTTCAGTTTAGTCTTCCTAAGTGTCTTTGTGAACACGCCTGTACACTACAGCTGCAGAGATTCATCCTCAAAACTGTTAAAACTATTTTGATAGATTTCATTTTTTAGAAAAAAAAGACAAAATTCTGTAACTCCAGCTTCTTAAATGTGAATATTTTCTCCTTTTCTTTTCTCCTCTTTGACAATAAACTGAATATATTTGAGTTGTTGACCAAACAAAACTTCATTTTTCACCATTTGATGGACCAAAAAGCTAAAGGTGGTGCAGGAATGAGTCCTAAAACCATGCCATGACTCAGCATTGTAGCACTTCCTGTTCCCTCATCTTAAAGTCAATGGTTTTCTGAATGTGCTTTTGGTTAGAAGCCTGAAATAAGGTCTGTGGTTAAAACAAGGTGAATATATTTTTATCCCACGACATCACATTTGTCAGTAAATATCCCGCTGGTGAATTTAAAAAGTAATCCTTCTGAACAAAATGACATAAACAATTTTCTGCAATACTCCACAACTTGTAAAATCCCATTGGCTTTTTGTGGAGGGAACCAGAGAGATGCTATATTATACCGCAATAAATATAATTGCTAATTGCAGCTCTACTGTACGTACGCGAAGGTGCATTAAGGGAATTTTCAGCAACATCTCCATTTGTTAATTAAATCACAAAAATAGCCCCGTGTTAATCTGTCGGATTTTCACGACTGCCTTATCCTGACTACAGTAACATCTTGTATGAAACGCACACGTTCAATTTGCATTTCTGACTCAAACTGCTGTATGTTCAAATGGGGATGTAAATACTGTGAATCTCACATGTTCCACTATCAAAGCAAATCGTCACCAGAAAGTGAAATCCAGCATGTCCTGCACCTGTTTCTCACACTTGTCTGTTAGTTTGTTTTCACACAGGTGATACACTGACTTTTATATTGGTCAAGTATTGGGGGGTCGTTTTACAAACAGAAATGTGTGTGTGCAGTTTTACACCATTTGTAGAACAAAAGGAGCATGAAAAACATGGAAGTTCTTGTGTCAAAGTGAAAAGAAATGTGTGTAAGAAAAAGAATCATTCCCTGACTCAAAGCAGCATTTATAAAACGAACGACAGAAAATATTCGCAAGCTATTTTGGTAATTGTCATTTTTCATGCAGAAAATGTCTAAATGTTTCCAGCCTCTCAAAAGTTGAGATTTTCTTTCGGTTTTATATCAAAACGAAGACATTTAAAGACGATGTTTTCAACAAATAATCAAGTACATGTTCATTAGTTAGAGTTGAGATGTGTTCTTCCCTCAGCTCATCACATGATCAGCCTTCACTATCACTCACTTCCTCTATATTTGTCTTTTTCTGTTTCTTGTTACCTTTTTTGTTGTTGTAATAAAAGACCTGGAATAACTGGTGTGCAGTGTTGGGATTATTCTGTCAAAGGAGGCGATATAGTATTTTTATGTGGACTCATTTTGACAACAAAAGCTTTATTTTGTTGTTTAATTAATAATGGTTTTAGTTTATGAGAAGGACATTAAAAACAGCAGGATACTTACGATAGGGTTTACCATTTGAGTTACCTGTGAGAAAGGCTAGATGGCAGCAGCGCCTCACTTCAACATCATGCACACAGTTTTTATAATGCATTATCTTTAATACAATTGGATAAGAACCTGGACCCATTTCTACTTTTGGGGAAATTAAGGGGAACATAATTAAGACTAAATAGACCACCTAGAACACATTTCTGACAAGTAACTCCCCCTGGTGTCAAATATCTGAAAAGGGACAAATATATCACATTGAGCTTTAATGGTAAAATAACTCTTATTTATAACTTAATGAATGAGGATGATTTTTTTTTGGTTTTAAATTAGCTTGAACATTATTTGAATTGAAGAATAAAGAATGTTAACTAAATATAATTGAATCCGCTAAATTAACTGAGCAGATCATAATCATATTTCTAATTGTACATTTAATAATAATAATAATAATCCTTGTATTTATTATAGCGCTTTATCAAAGACTCTCAAAGCGCTTTACAAATACACATTACACATACAGATCATACATGTAATGGTCATCTACTGTGGACAATACCCACAGCCAATGAAGTGTCTTGCCCAAGGACACAACGGCCTGACGCAGTGGGGCGGGAGCGGGTTTCGAACTGGAGTTCCCCAACGCCCCCTTGATCTGATGATCAAACGCACAGTCCACTGCGCCACCCGTCCCTCCAAAAAAAAAAAAATAGGGTTCGTACGGTCATTAAAAACCTGGAAAAGTCATGGAAATTCAAAATGCAAATTCCAGGCCTTGGAAAAGTTATGGAAAACTATTTATTTCCCAAAGTTTTGGAAAAGTCATGGAAATGTAACCAAAGTTGCATCAAATATAATTTATATTTAATCTAATCGCCAAAATAGTAATACTATAACGATAATAAATACTGTATCGTTTTGTAATGAAACGTAAAATGGCATTTAACTGACGAGGTATTTTGCTGGTGAGAGATTTGAGTTGCTTTAGCCTGTAGAAGCTAGTAAGCCTATTTGATTTGTTTTAGATAGACACAACATGTTTCATATGCAGACCTTATTTTCCTGTTCCATGTTAAAATAAACATGTTTCAGTGGTACCGCTGAGAAAGAGTAATTTTTCTGGTCATGGAAAATTAGGTAAAGGTCATGGAGAGGTGATTGAAAATCATTGGTGAAAAAGGGTATGAACCCTGATATATGTCCAGGGCTGCACATAACTGGTGCGCATGCGCACCTCCGCCAAAAAAAGAGCACCGGGTCATTTGAAAAAAGGCGCATTTGCGCACCAACATTGAAAGAGAGAGGGAGAGAGAAGAGAAAAGAGAGAAGAGAGAAGAGAGGAGAGAGAAGAGAGAAGAGAGGAGAGAGAAGAGAGAAGAGAGAAAGATATTTGCGAGTTGCATATGAACTCAGGGCCGGCCCGTGGCACTGGCGTTATAGATGTTCGCCTAGGGCGCCAGATCTGTGGAGGCGCTGCGCTGGCAGTTCTGGGAGGGAAAAACATTGTTTTGACCGTTGGGGCTCATCCTAATTTTCTACCTTGATGTAACAATATTCATAATTAAGTAAATGTAACACCCTTTTCACCCCGGTTACACGTTTCATTTGCCCTGTACTATGGGCGCTGTAAGTGATTAAAATGGGGGATGTTGGCTTATCTGGCGCCCGCAGCTCACAGCTAAAGTGCGAGTGAGCGAGGGATCGAGGGAGGGTGCACCGGTACCGGCGCTGTTGTTATTAGAATCTGGTGCTAGCTGCTCTAACGAATATAAGAAGAAGATGTTTCTACAATGATGTGGAGAGAGAGTCCTCTCCAGTCAGACTGAGAGGCTGATACTATAGTGAGAGTGTTTAGATAGTTAACTTTAGTCTAAGTTCAAAAGGTTTGGTCACAATTTATGTAAACACATATTTCCAAGGCACTCCTTTATAATTATTGGGATAAACAGGTTTGAAATCATTCCAATGTATACTATAGGACAGTAACCAAAAATATCCTTTAAAACTGGAAAGATAAAAAAAATGCATAAATAAATAAATGTTAAGGTAAAATAAGATATGAATGAACAACAAAAATAAAATAAGTTACATTAATTTGTTATTGGCTATGGTAGGTTATTGGTTATGTTCACATACTTATTTGATTACATCCACTTGTCTAAGATGACAACAGAGACTTTCGACCCAAAACCAGCAGCTAATCGCAGACTCAACCAGAGAGAAAGAAGTAGGCCTACATCATCAGCTACCATGTCTGACAGAGAGGAAGACAGTGAGGAGAACAGTCAGGAGGGGAGTGATGACAGCTTGTAGGATTACTGGTCGTGCTAATGTTGTCTTGTGTTCACCACTGCATGTGTGTTCTGTGTTCACCTCTGCATGTGTGTTTAGTGCCGTGTGTCTGGCAAATAAAGTCAAGACCCCCTCAAAAATTACGGGTTATTTCATTTTAAGGATGAGCACCAAGCAACATCTCCAGGTGCTCCTTTGAGAATCAGGGCAAAAAAGTTATGTGCACCCCTGTATATGTCACTCCGGGTTTACTCTGAAAGTTTAGGGTTAAAGTCCCGATGTGACATCAGTGTCACAGCGATGTTTGTCTTATTTGTTTCATATCAATTTGATCAATAAATGTTTCCACAACAGGTTAAATGTAATAAAGGACATGTTATGTAAGCATTTTAATTCTTAAATGGCTTGAATTTTCCGTTTAGCAACAAAAAACAAGCGTTTTGAAATGTAGCTATTTCTGTCACATGTGTTAAGTCTGGCACATGGACATCTTGGACATGTTGTTATGGGAACACACAATCAAATGTCCTGGACCAGGACCCACCAGACTGTTCAGTGTGTGTCACTTAAAATCATCCAGATAAAAACAAGGCAAAAGCTGTATGAGGAACTTTCCAGAGGTTCATGTGACACCCGTGTCACGGTGGGTCCTTATGGGTTAAAAGGCTACAATTCGGACAATTAATGAATATATTCAGATCAGACTAAACTCACTCAAAGAACACTATTAATATATATATAGCATTTGAATAGCAGATTTTAATAATACATTTTTGAAAATGTGTAAATGTTTTTCAGAAATTGTGTTGCAGTTTTATTTAAAAATTTGTGAAAATAAATAAGATTTCAATTCATGAAAATATGTAAAAATATACATCAATGACACTTTTGTGCATTTAGTTAATTACATTACATTGCATTTAGCTGACGCTTTTATCCAAAGCGACTTACAATAAGTGCGTTCGACCAACAAAATACAAACTTGAAGAAAACAGAATCATATAAGTACTCAGGTTTCATAGAGCAAAAACATTTCAAGTGCTACTCAACTGGCTTTAGATAAGCCAGCCCTTTATTAGTATATAAGTGCTTTGTTAATAGTTCTATCGCTCGAAGTGGAGTCGAAAGAGATGAGTTTTCAGTCTGCGCCGGAAGGTGTGTAAGCTATCTGCTGTCCTGATGTCAATGGGGAGCTCATTCCACCATCTTGGAGCCAGGATAGCAAACCCACGTGTTTTTGCTGATGGGAACTTGGGTCCCCCTCGCAGCGAGGGTGCAGCGAGCTGTTTGGTTGATGCAGAGCGGAGTGCACATGCTGGGGTGTACGGTTTAACCATGTCCTGGATGTAGGAAGGGCCAGATCCATTCGCAGCATGGTACGCAGGTACCAGTGTCTTGAAGTGGATTCTAGCAGTTATCGGAAGCCAGTGGAGGGAGCGGAGGAGCGGCGTGGTGTGGGAGCATTTAGGAAGGTTGAAGACCAGGCGAGCCGCTGCATTCTGGATGAGCTGCAGAGGTCGGATGGCACATGCAGGTAGACCAGCCAGGAGGGAGTTGCAGTAGTCTAGGCGTGAGATGACGAGAGCCTGGACCAGAACCTGAGTCGCTTTCTGAGTCAGCTGGGGACGTATCCTCCTGATGTTGTAAAGCGTGTATCTGCAGCAACGGGTTGTAGCAGCGATGTTTGCAGTGAAGGACAGGTTGTTATCTAGGGTCACACCCAGATTCCTTGCAGTCTGAGTCGGGGAAACAACAGAGGTGCCAATGTTGATTGTTAGGTGAAGAGTCGGACAATCTTTTCCCGGAAGGAAAAGCAGTTCAGTCTTGTCAAGGTTGAGCTTGAGGTGGTGAGCAGACATCCACTGAGAGATGTCAGCTAGACAAGCAGAGATGCGTGCGACGACCTGGGTCTCTGAGCGGGGAAAGGACAGAATTAATTGGGTGTCGTCAGCGTAGCAGTGGTATGAAAAGCCATGCGGGCTAATGACTGATCCGAGCGAGTTTGTGTACAAGGAGAAGAGGAGGGGACCAAGAACCGAGCCCTGAGGGACCCCTGTAGTTAATTGACAAGTGGTAATAAGTGGTAGTGGTAGTGTTGAGCCTCAAAACAAATGTTGTTCATAATTAGGGTTGCAAAATTCCGGGAATTTTCAAAGATGGAAACTTTCCACGGGAATGAACAGGAATTAACAGGAATTAATGGGAATAAATTGGGAATTTTCTAAATTGGAGGTTGGCTCTTCGTAGGGAACTTAAATATAGTTGGGGAAAGTATATTTTAGCATAATCTTGACTAAAACAAACAGATGCCATTCAAGTACACTTGAATATCCTGGCCATAGCACACTGCTTACTGCATGGCTATTGAGACCACACAAAGGTTCGCAACAGGCTCACAAATGTGAGAGTGGAAAAACTGGTTGGCATTCGGGCAACACACAGAGCCATCCTCAACACGGCTGGACAGTGACACTGATTGCTTGAAAGAAGATGTGTTTGTTTAATGGAACTTTTTGGAGGGAGAAGGGCGCTTTTCATTTAACATTTTGAATGGGACTTCGTGGGGATTTT